GATTATCTTCTGTGTCTGTGTTAATTGGTTTCCCTTTTCTTTGTTGAAGAGGGTCTGTGCAATCCTTCTGCCTAGTGCACCATCTTGCCGGAACCCCGCATTTCTTTCTTAAAGCTTCCTTTCTTCTAAAAATTTCAATATATTGCTTGGAAGTGCCTTGATTTAGCCAAGTATGGCTTAGATCTACACTGTCTAATATGCTAACTATCAGCCACATGTGGCTATTTAAATTAACTAAAATTACAAAACAAAACATTGAGTTTCTCAGTCACACTAGCTACATTGCAAATACTCAACAAACATATGCACACAGAACATGTGCATCATAGCAGAAACTTCTGTTGGACCACGCTGGTCTCGGGCCATAAGGATGATGATTCACACAGGCCTGCCTACTTACTTCACTTCTGAAAGAACGGATCGCTCTCCATCTGAACACTGGGACCGGCGATACTGGCGGTAACTTCGTGGGGAATGAGAATGCCTGATACGGATTGGGTCACCTTGCGTCCTAAGCAAGCAAACAAAAAACAGACACAAACATACCAGAAGTCAGACAGGATAATCTGGAGTGTTTCCTTAAAGAACGGAGTTCTTCCTTTATCTTGAGACCTCAAAGGATTTTAATAGCTTTTAGAGTTATAAAAACAATTTGACTCTTCAGGCTTTTGAGACTCTGAGTGTCTTAACATTTCACAAGTTAAAATAGAAAACTGCTCAGTTGACTATACATGAAAATGGAACTTTTTACATTATGTGTGTATATATTTTGTTTAACCATCAAATTTTAAGGACATTATTCCCTATAGGTGAATTATCTACAGTGATTTGGAAGAAAATAAAATCTATAATATATACAAAATCGCATTCCTATCAGAAAAAGTTGGTTATTGCCCTACCTGCTGCCTAACCTATAATTAAAATTTAATCTTTAGCCTGAAGGGGAGTGGGGAGAGGGACAATGTGTACCAGCTGGCAGTTTGCTTTGGTTAGGAAGGAAGCATAGGTTGCAGATAGGAAATAAAGCAATGAAGTAGACACTTGGCTTCCACTTCCTCTTACCAATTATACAAAAAAAAAAAAAAAAAAACTGCCATCAAATCAGATCTGACTCATAGCAACCCTATAGTACAGGATAGAACTGCCTAGAGGGTTCCAAGGCTGTAATCTTTAAAGAAGCAGACTGCCTCATCTTTCTCCCACGGAGTAGCTGTTAACCATGTACCACCAGGGCTCTTTACCAATTATAAGAGGGCAGAAAACACAGTAAACAGGTCATCCTACATTGCATTCTACACTGACTGGTGACTAGGGAATCCTGTTAGGCTTTCTTGAACATGGTCAGTAACTAGTTCTACGATAGGGATTGGACAGGATTTTTTGGCCAAAATATCTCTGATGTTAAAATAATGAATAAAAATAACACTTGTTAGCAATCAATGAGTATCTGAGAAAAAAAATTTATATTTTTTAAAAGCTGACATTCAGAAAGCCCTTTTGTACCTATCACATACAAGTAAGTGGTTAATAGAAGATGACAGTGATTGAATTCAAGAATGAGAAAAATTAGTTTTAAATAGGAGCTCTGGTAGTGTAGTGCCTAAGGCACTTGATTGCTAACCAGAAGGCTGGCAGTTTAAACCCACCAGCCACTCCTCTGAAGGAAGATAGGGTAATCTACTTCTGTAGTGATACTGCCTCGGAAACCCAAGGAGGGGTCACTGTGAGTCAGGTCCGACTTGACGGCAACAACAACAACAACAACAGTTTTTTAAATACAATATTTTCTATCTCTTTCCCTATAGACACTTTGAATTTTAGTTAAAATGTAAAGACAAATTAAACCACTGCATGGAACACCAATGAAGAGAAGTAATGGGATTATTCACTTATAATTACTATTAAAATGCCAATGAAAAGATTTTCAAAGACATACTCACTCTATTTTAGTGTACGGGATCTCTTTTAATTGTTCCTCTGACAATCCAGATGGATCCACAAGTTCCTTTCTAGAAGAGAGTAAGAAAAGGGAAGTCGTGATGCTGGTGTATATATATTATAATACCTTCTACAATTGGCAGGTGAGTTTTCTCTTTTTAATCCTGTCTAAAAACACTTGTTAGTAAAACTTTAAGCAGGGAACAAAGATTTTAAAACTAGCATGTGTTCAAGGAGAAGTAGAAAGAAAATCTTTTCTGTGTCCCTTTTGCCTTCCTCTAATTTTTCTATAACCAGGCTTTAACATTTCATCCCTCATTTCCCTAATGAAAAATCTGCTTCTTTCCTGTGATGAGTGTGTTCATTTTTTAAAATTCTGATTCTGTTTTCTTCAGTGTTTATTTGTAAAATTTGCCTGTCTTGGGTCCATTTAAGGAGCTCTGGTGGCGCAGTGCCTAAGGCATTTGACTGCTGGCCAGAAGGTTGGCAGTACAAACCCACCAGGCACTCCACAGAAGGAGATCAAGCAATCTACTTCTGTAAAGATTTACCCCCTCGGAAATCCAACAGGGGTTGCTATGAGTCAGAATTCACTTGATGGCAGTGGGTTTGGCTTTTTGGATCCACTTAGAGGAGAGGCAAAATGACCTTAGGTCAGGAGATGTTAAGGCTGCCTATAGATGGGCTGTCCCTAGAGCCTCTGTACACTGTTGGCATGGTAAGGCACTGCCACTGTGAGAGCCATGCAGCTCATACCAATGATGAGAATGAGGAATATTTGAGAGACTTAGGACTGAGGTTGTCTTTCAACATCACTGGATTTTCTTGTAAATGCCTTAAAACTATATTGGTTTCCAATTTGCTCTGTAAACTTGCACCCACATCACAATTTAAAAAAGAAAAGAATACCAAATAATAATAATAATTTTAAAATACTATATGGTTTTGAAAGAATGGAAAAACCAATACTCACTGGATATGCTTCCATAACTCTTCTTTTGCTTGGATATCAGGACTTCTCCTATAAATAGAGAAAACAACACTCATCTCTGTAAACATATTGTTTCACCTTATAATCTAACAGCTAACTTTAACAGAGCTACAACATTAATAGTTTTTTAGATTGCACAGTTTTTATATGCCAGCTGAAACCAGTCAGAGAAAGACTGGGCAGAGAGAGCTAATGTGATTATAAGCGTAAAGATATGAAATGATTTACCTGCTAGTGCCACTAAAGGAAATCACAAACAAAACAAAACAAAAAACAGAGTAGGCCTTCATTTAACGAAAGAGCTTTTAGAACTGCTGGGCTTATCCTCACACCCACCAGTGGTGATTTTACAATAAAGAATGATCAATCCAAGGCTTCGTTTTTGGCCTTCCAGGTATTTCTAAGTAAAGATAAAAAGCTTATCCTGTTTCTGTTAATATGAAAGAGCCCAAACATGATCTGATTATCTAATAGAAGTAGCATCTAGAAGGGAAAAGGAACTGGTGGGATAATCTGGATAGTAGAGCCAAAGATGCCAAAGACCCATCTTTCACATTTCATCTGATGTTATATTTCTGCATCACATCTTGGGCCCACAAATGCTAGAACCTATCTCAACTGTCATTGAGTTGGATGGACTCATAGTGACCCCTCTTTGGGTTTCCGAGGCAGTATCTCTATGGAAGTAGATTGCCCAACCTATACATGGTCTTTATTCACGCTGTCACTCTCTATGCCCTTTTCCATCCCCAAATAAAGACCCCACAAATCCCTTCTCCTCCAAAAACACTTAAGTAGAAACTGCCACTATCTTTAAAGCCAGTTGCCATCGAGTTAGTTCTGGCCATGGCGACCCCATGTATGTCAGAGTAGAACTGTATTCCACAGGGTTTTCAATGGCTGACTTTTTGGAAGTAGATCACCAGGACTTTATTCCGAGGTGCCTCTGGGTAGACTTGAACCTCTAACCTTTAGGTTAGCAGCCAAGCATGTTAACCATTGGCACCACCCAGGAACTCCACTACCTTTAACCTAGAATGAGAAATCCAAAGTCAGCATTCATGTGTTCTCATTCTGGATAGTTTGTAAATAGCAATGAATACTAGAAATCTATTACCTCTGCAGTTGTGCTGCAGAATGACTTTTTCCTAGTGAGAAAATAATAAACTTTCACCAGTTTTTTCAAGTGAACTAAGGTCTAATAATAGGCCAAAGATCCACTCACCGAGGACTCAAACAATAACAAAAGGCCTGGAGCTAAGCAAAGCCATTGACACACTCTATCTTGTGGAATTTCACGTTTATAATTTTTATCAGTATTGTCAAGGCTCAATATCACTTTCAACACATGATATCAACGTTGCTTTCACTTATCTCAGTTAATAAGGCCTGAGTGAGGTATTCTGGCAGAATAGAATAAGCTACTTTATAGCAATTGAATTTGCTAAGTAG